ATAAATAGGGCAACCTTAGTTGGCCGATTAATTCAACATTTGTTTGGGATTTTCTATTGAACGCAGTAGTTAACGTACGCGGACCCCTCATGGGGGTTCTCAGCATTGGACCCGGCTTCAGGCCCTCTTGTCCTTAACCGTTCCTGGTGGACACACATCAGTGACAGGGCGATGAGAGGGAGGCATCACTGCCCTTTTGTTTACGTCTTTGTGACCTTTTTAACGTTTGGGTATAGTGCTCTCGGCTTTCACTTGACAAATATGGGCCTGCGGCACTGAGAAATTATCTGTGATCTTTTCTCTTTGAGAATACAAAAATCCCCTTTTTGAAGCCAAACCAAAATCTTCCTTCTAACTGAAATATAGTGTAAAATGTACTGATACTGCATTTTTCTTTTTTACATTGTTGAAATGAGGTTGAAACCTCCTTTGGACCTGTGGTCAGACTGTAGGGTTCTAGTTGCTTCTGGTCATTTAAATCCAAATGATCTTTCTAAATAAGGATGCAACAAAAACCACAGCCATAGTAACCGATCAAAGCGAGTCTTCTCAGTTCCAACCTGCCATGCTGGTCAGCGAACATTTGACTTCGCTCCCTTACTTAATGGCCGTAAAGACATCGTCAGCGGCTAATCTCAATGCTGAAGTCCAAATGCTGGTGATGGAGAGCCTGATCTCCCTGGCGGCTCACTTAAACACACTTGCCCTTTCAGCCCTACGTACCTAATAGCTGTTGGCACATTGATCAACCCCCAAGCTGTCTGTAACCTCCCGCCTGCCCGGCCCGAGCGCTGATGGGCAGACAGTGACTCTTGCGCCGGCGTTCCACGTGAGGAACCGGGGATCCGTGACCTTTACAAGTTTGGACCACAATTTACTGGAGATTAGCAGAGTCCAACATTTAAATTATCTGGAGAAAGGGCAGTAGAATCAATTTCTCTTTAGTTTAGACATTACTGTATCTTCTGCGAGGAAATGCAGTGGGACAGAATGCAAAACAATTACCAAGACTTTAAAGCGAAAAATAGATGGAGAGACATGACCTTTTTTTATTTTGAAAAACAAAGTGTTGCGAACTGTGCACTTACAAGTGGTCATGACCACAATTGGTTCATTGATGGATAGTGGTTCTCATTTGCAAAGTACAAGTTTTTTCTCTGCAATGCATTTTCTCCCATTCAAATTAACTGCATATTCCGTTTTTTTTCTGTTGACACAGGAAAAGTTGCACGACATCATCTGCTTCCCTCCTGCGACACGATCCCTGATATTAAGCACCCATAGGCTCCTACCGATGGCACAATACTTTCTAAACCAATTAGGTGGCCCTGCCTCCTAAGACATCACCACTGACAAGTAGCCGATGCAATTTCCATAACGGAGCAATTGGCAACCCCAAGGCCAGTCCGCAACAGTGGGCGAGGTGCTCCCATGCATCTCGCCGTTGTTTTCCATTTTGCTCGTTTGGAAAGTCAAATTGTCAACAAGCCAAAGACTCCAATGTCTGAAAAGATTTCCGTCAGCAAAGTTTTGAGCATGAATTGCCCGTCCGTAGTAATATTGTCAGTGTAACTTACGACTGGCTCGATGCGCATTACTCAACCGGTGGTGTTTCTCAAGGACAATTACCAGTTTCCCTTCCCCTCCCATCGTCTGAGAACACCGTGACCCCAAATCGCAGCAACGCAGTGAATCAGCTTTATTGGATTACCTCCCAGCCTTGACCCCACCTGTCTGAGAAGGAGGAGGAGAAGGAGCACATTTCGATGTGGGAACTCATCTCCCACTGAACTGCTTCAACCCGACTTCATGCCTCAGTAATATATTGGATCTTATGGACCTTCTGGGGGTTGTTTATGTTGAACTCTAAGAAGGCTAAGTTGAGCAAATGGATGTGATAAAAACTCCAAATGAGAGTATCTGGTTGAATTACCATACAGCAGATACATAATAAATCATGCGAGAAGGTTAGCCGTTGTTAGTAGTCACTATTTACAAGCTTGTTTCATCTTAAATAAATGGATGTATTGATGCTTTAGGCCTGTCTGCACCTTCTGAAGCTCTGTGCTGAATTTGATCTTTTTTAATTGAGATGGAAATGTTGTGTTATAAACTAATGACCCCTAATGTATCATTGGATACATTTTAGAGGTCATTAGATGACAGAACATTTTAGTATACCTCCCGTTTCCTTTTCTCTAAAGGGATTACATTTAAACATTCAAAGAAAGAAACTTTGTTACATCCAGTAAGCAGCATTTGATGGAGGGTTTTAAATACTCCTGCGGTTGATGCTTCATATATACTGTACTACTGATCCCTTTGTGGAATGGATTTTTCCCAACCCTTTAGAAATTAAATTTGCTGTCCCCAAAATGCAATCAAGCCGGATCTCACCTTGGGTTTATTGGATAAACGCTACTTGAAATGCTAATTATAAATGTGGCAGAACGACACACATGTTGGTTTATTATCAACCAGGCAAACGCATCTCTTGAAGTTTCTCCTTCTTGTCATGAATTGTCAGTAAATGTCATGATTCAAACATCCGCCTCTCTTTATGGTCAACGCTGCCCTTTAAAAAGCCTGGGATACGTTGCATTCGCAGGCTCAGGCCACCGCATGAATAGATGGCGAGAGATGTTATCACAAACATTTCAACCTTTTTTGAAGCATCAAAAGCCTGCCTAAACATGTCTGAACATGCGGCTGAATTACTTAAGCCTGCCAGGACCCCGCTGATGTCCTTGATGGGATGTGATATCCATGTAATCAATCCCGAATGGATGCCTCATGCTCCGAACGCTCCTTGCATCGTAATTTCCATAGATGTATAATCAGGGTGACAATAGGGGAGCTGAATGCGCAGCATACAAAATGTTACATGATTTTGTCCCCTGTGTGTCTTTTGAAAGTTGGGAGCTGTGATAACAGGCTAGTATGGGAAATCAGTCTTTTGGTCAAAACACTAAAGGGGCCTTTTGTGGCGGCTTATCTGTGACTCTTTTGATGGAAGCTTGGTTTGAAGGGGCAGTGGCCAGTATGTGGAGAAGAGCCACCAAAAGCAGAAAGCAGCTGGGGTTAGTTTAATCACAAATGTCCAAGTCGCCTTTGTCAGTCTTGTTCCGGTTTAAAAAGCACAATGATCACATAAAAAAACCATCAAAACAGACATTTTCGTAGCCACACAGTCACTGAAAAGGCACCTCTTAACGCTGGTCAGGGCATGTTGCTCTGCAACTGACACAAAACCCCCCCGAAAACCTCAATTGAAAATCATTTCCAAACAGCGGGAGACCGATGTGACTGACTTCCAAGGCAGCAGCGGCAAGAGCTGCCGCTTCCCCGGGTCTCAGGCTCTTCAATCGAGTCTAGTCACGTAAGGTGCGTGGGCGAGCCCAGGCTCTGGTTTCTACGTCTTTGCCGGCCCGTCGGTTTCATCAGCGGGTGCGCCGCTCTGTTACTCGACATCCTCCTCCAGAGAAGACACCTGCTGTTTTCATCTCGGAATCTCACGGCGGCCTGTGATCAATCGCTCCCTGTCAAGAGAAAGCAACATTGATCCGTAGCTGTAGCGCTCGGCCGCTCCGAGTGTTTTGGGTCTGCAGCCTACAGTAGACGAGTGGTTTGCCGTGTTTCCGTTCGGCTTTCCTTTTTCAATAAGGGGCAAAAAATATCGGAAATTGCAACGCTACCTTTAGCGCTCCGACGCCCCTTTCCCCTATTACGCTCGTGTAAAGCTAAAAAAAAAGAATGTTTGATTTGGTAACAAAGAGCTTCGGCTACGCCGGAAGAAAGAAAAGGAAAGTGAGGGGAGAGGGGCCCTTAGAGTGGGAGACTTTTCTAGCTAATGGTGCTGTCAGTTGCTAATCACGCTGTCAGCCACCATTACCGTTAAGGCGTTCATCTTGTCTCTGTACTGCTCTTTAGCCTGAACTTTGGAAGACTTGATTTCTTAGATGAACACAATTACAAAAACCTTCAAGTCTCCCTTTTGAACCCAAACCACATTAGATTGCTTCTCTCGCAGGTCATTTCTCGTCCATCTTGTTTTCCTTCTTTGCAAAGCTCTGCCGGCCTTCTGTATGTCGCTTCATGTTGACGTTGAGTTATAGGTTTTGAATGACGCCGCTGCTGGTCCCACTGGGGACGATGTCTCCTGTGCATTTCATGAGGCCAGGGTCTCCATCCGGGGCTCTAAAACCCTCCTCGCTGTGACACTCTGAAGCGACCGACCACACCGCTGTGCCGTGTCTCACACGCATGTAAATCAGGATAAGAGGGGTGTAGTAACAGTCTCCCGTTGGCAGTTGCGGTGTCCTCACAGTTGACAATCAGCGTTTTCATGTGAGACCTGTGTGCAAAACATAGTGAGAAATGAGGTGAGAGAGACGACATGGATGTATGGTTTGTTTTTTTTCCCATTAGTGATGTATTTTTTGCATTTATTGATTTGTTTTGTCCTAAAGAAATCATCCGTTTCCCAGAGCTGAAGGCTTCGACATTGAATTTGATGATGAATTTATAATGATATAAAACAACAAATAGTGACTGTTCTTGGCACAGATAGCGACGTGGCTCAGGTGACACATGTGGCACGGCAACACTTAACATGGCACCGATCTTGCCTGCTTACCCCCGTTATGTGAGCTTGGTCCCCGAATCTTTTCTTTGTTCCGTCCTCGCGGAGCTGTTGGCTGTTGACTGTCTCATCTTCCAACTGTAGATATCACAACTTGCCGGTTCTAACTTGCTCCCTTAAGTATAACCCCCCCCCTCCCCTTAGCATATATTTCCCTTTTAGCTTTAATGTTTTCTTACGGCGGTTGATGCCGCGCTGTTACAAACTGTATTGAATCCTCAATTAGTTAAATCAGATCTAACAAACCGACTTTTTGAGGGGACCGTGTGTCACATTTCTCTGCCCCCCTGCGCGCCACATCAAAGCGGCTGGTAATTAGATTCCTCCCCCAAATCCATGCAGATCAAACACAGCGGTTGTTGTTTGTCACTGTGCTGACGTTTGTGTGCTCTTATTAATCTCTGATTTCAACAGACGTAAGTGGGGATGCCGTCGTATTTTTTTCTTTTTTTTGTGTGTCACAGGCTGAGCTGCCGGAACATTGGCTTATTGGTCGTGGTTGAATAATTCATTTGAACCGCAGGATTGCTGCCTGGCCATGTGGTCCGTGTCAATGACTGTCTGAGGGCGCGCGGGAACGGTACCACGACGGTGCGGGGGGGGAACGATCCGCGCTCTCTCCGCTAACTCTCCTTCATCAGCAGAAATGCTAAACTACCCAGCGCATCCTCCGCTGATGAATTCATCTCAACCGTTTGTCATGAGGCTGCGTGTTTTGGAATTCCTCATCTCAAACAGCGACGGCTCGGGCAGTTTGCGCCAGCTGCTTGACAGCAGCATGTATCCAAAGGTCTTCTTTGCACGGGGAAAGTTCCTGACAAGGTGAAACTGTCATTGTCTTTGAGAAGAAATGGTGGTGGTGGCGTTTTCTCTTTTCATACACCGTTTTTACTTTTGACAGCCAACCTGCTAATAAGGAGGGATGAATTCATGGGATTTTTTTGGTCACAGTAGCCTTTGTTTTATTTGTTGCTTGGTTATACGACTATTTGCAACCACCTCCTAATGAGGCACATTGGCAAAAAGGTCGAAAGCCAGTTAGTAAGAGTGACATTTGCATTCTCTAGTTGTGAAAAATTCAAAATGGCAACAAATCTGCCTTTCTGAATGTTACCCGGTTGCTAGTAAAGACAACCCGTGTGGGGCGGACTGTTCAGAAATGCACGTCGGCCCAGTTCACACATTCCACTGGGTAAGAAATTAGGACCTGATCCGAGGCTTTTTTTTTTACAGGCTAAACAAATCACTAGTTCTTGCTTCATAGTCGTGTAAAGTAAAAAAAAAAAGTAAAAAAGAGGATTACACATCGTAAATAGCCTTTCTAGGTCGTGCCTGATTATATATTTTTAGCAAACACATTGTTGCCAGGTAGCTTCGGCACTATCATGAGAGTTGCCATGGATTAAAATTCCATATGTTGACTAAATCGAAGGATATCTGGGCCCTTAAGCTCGCCAAGGGTAATACCAAATAAAAAGTAATAGCCCCAGAGCCTATGATTCATGACTTGATCCCGCCAGATACATTAAACAAGCATTGATCGTCCCTGACGCCCACCCTAATCCTAATACAAAAAATAAATACTGTGTAAATTCCCCCGGCAGATATTTCTCGGGCTCTCTCTGATAGACCGTGGCGAGTGCGCGCAATCAATACGCGCTTTTGGGTGTAAAATAACCTTTTGATGAGCAGTGAGGAAATGCGAGCCATTGGGAGCGTTTCTCACACACCCTTATTGATTCCACCGTCGGTGCGTTTCTCCTGCCTCCTCTCTCCGTCCTCCGACGTGCCGCCGTGGTCTCCTCTTTATCCTGGTGTTCATTGGAAATCCTTTTTATTGCGGCGCCGTGAGTTTAACGGCACATAGTTGAGTGTTGGCACAGGGAGGAGGGAGGGGGGGGGGGGGGGGGTCCTGCCTCACCCCTTCTCCTTGCCTCGGTGGTTTTAAAGGTTAGTTTTGCTCTGCGGTGAAGGGAGATCTGTCCTGCTGTGCTTACTCAGCTGCCGTCGCTGCAGTCCACTTAGTGTGATTGTTTTCCTTATCAACACGTTCCTTTTTTTTTTGTTGATTTCTTCAGATGACTAGAGGGAAATATGCAATTGTTGCTCTTTTGTTTGTTAGATCAAAAGGTTAGTCGCAGTTCCCGTGTTGGACAATAGTGAAAGCATTATTTAGGACAGGGGAAAAATGAATGTAAATCAAGGCATGTCATATGCTAATCATTGTCCACATTCTGGCATTCCTACTTTCCCATATTTTATTCAAAGGGTTGGTTAACATTCTCTTAACAATGTGGACTCACGCCGTTTTAATCAAATTCCTCCTGAAATTCCATTTCCTTTGAACCCATGATCCGTGGTTGTTCAATATATTTAATTAAATATGTTAATAAATCTCCCTTTTCCTCCAAGTAAGCAGTCCTGCTGCACACTCAGCTTTCTTTGTGGACTTTGGCACCATCCATATAAGATTTGAGCCCTACATCGTGGTCACTTACTTTGTCCGACAGCCCATCGCTCGCTCCGTGTTGCAACATGATCTACAGTGGGATGCAATGCCAGGCATTATTTGCCAGGTCGTTTGATTAAGGGAAAATCTATCACAGGGGGCAAGTCTATTGCAGATGAGCCATTGAAAAATGATCCAGTGGTGTAGGCATTTCTCGCATTGCGAAATGTGATGCATTCGGACACATCTCATTCCTGAGTTTGTGGTCTTGCATTCCCAGTAAAGCAGCTAATCGTGCAAACACCCGTCCAAACAAAAGCAACAAATCATTCTCAAAAGAGTGCTGCGTAAGGCTGCAAGTGAGCTAATCAATCCAGCCAGTCGATATCAGCTATCGATTGTACATCTGCAGGGTGGCCCGGACCGTTGTGCGAGCCCGGCAACGCAAACCTCAAACGACTTCCATGACACATGTGAGCTTGTGTATTTGACGCAGTACATTACCGCTCATTTACCCGAGTGTCTGCGTTGAACGCGGCCTCTGTGGTCTGAGATGCTTGGGGGTGAGGGGGTTGGTCCCTGCAGCAGCTGCTCCAAGACATCGTCATCACTCTCCCCGTAACGAGCGCACGGCGAGATGGGGAGGTCGGGGGGGGGAGTGTCACTCCGCGTTGAGGGGAAAACCCGCCCCCCCCCCGCAGTGGCACAAGCTGTCGGCGCAAAAACACGCGTAAGCGCCGGACTTTCTGAGACTCCTCAGGTGAGAAGAATTGTCCTCATTAATGGACTTTCATTGAACTTTTGCCGGATCCATGTCTCTTTGTTCTCATATTATCTGTACCTCTTCTATCTATCTACGTATCTATAGTTGTCCTCTTGGTTAATGGCAATCACACTTTTGGTAATATACTGAGGATCTCATTGACAGTGAGACAAAAACCTGTGCAATGAATAACCCTTCAACAGCGTCTGACCATTTCTGCCACAGCACGTCATAATGGCGCGGACTCTTGCCGCTAACCACCTCTAGCAGGCAATGACACCTAATTGGCCGCGATTGTTATTAATCAGTGGAACGATCCCATCATTTTTATTTAACCCAACTGCTTCTTTGTTTCCCTTCTCCTCCTCAGTCTGTTTCTCGAAGGCCCGGCAACCTGGGCAGGGAAAAAGGCAATTAAGCTAATGCAGTATAGGTGTCATAAGGTTGCAGATATTTCAAGAGCAGAGCAATTTCGCACTCGGGGAAAAAAAAAAGAAAAAGAGGAGAGGAGAGGGCTTGCATAAAACCTTCGACTCCCTCCCGGATTTATTATGCTTTTAGTTGTGTTATATGTGATATAATTAGCGGTAGGTGCCAATAAGGCTTGCGGCTCAAGGACGTGGTCATCGCCCGGCCATCTGTCATTAATTGCGCTCCCCTGTTATTTGGCGGGCGGCCCGAGGGGGAACAGTTGAGCTACGTGTCACAAGGCACATCGCACCACAGGTGTGGAATGAGCATTGATGTCAATGTGGATTTGTTTTTTTAGTGACTGAAACTTGTGCTAGAAACAGAGCGGAGGTCTGGATGTTCTTCTGATTGCCACGTGACTTATTTTGCGCAGACTTTTTGGGGAATTAAGAGACTGCGAAGCACATATCCTCATAGATTTGGTGTTTTCAAGGATAAATTAATTATGATTCCAACTAGAACTCCATCATGCGGCAGTTGAAGTCTTTCCAATGTAGAAATGTGACATTGTGGTAGAGCAGCCCATTATAGCCGTATCAACTAATTCCACTCTGGCATCTTCATTAAGGAGCAAATGAGTGTAGAACTCCAGAGGGCAGCAATGATATATACAAGAAAGGCGCCCCGAGTGCCATGTTTGGGTGAAAAAGGGAGGGGAGAGCAGACTGCAAATTCTCTTAGTGCTCACACACGGTGGCAGCAAGTATGACTTATGTCTACTGTGCAGCCATGCTGCCTCTTAATCTACTCTTTTTAATCAGGAATCCGGGGCTGGCTTGCTTTATGGCTTCTGGTTTATGGGCTTCACATTAGCATGTAGTCTGATATCTAAATGAAAACAGGGCGTCACAACACCCGGAGAATACAAAGCACCTTTTCAACCCTGCGGTAATGGACATGTTTTTTTATTTTTTTTATTTCCCGCTTCTGCAGAATGCCACAGATATCGGTTTTAATCAACAGCTTGTTTCCCCAGCGGCATTACACTAACATCCTTTATCAAGAGCTGTTGAGGTGCACTGTGAAAATTTCAAAGCAGGTGTGAAAAGCTTCCTACAGGTCAAATAGCGTGTTGAAAATGTGGACTGTAATCTGGCTAAAAGCAAACGTAAGCAATGCTTAGGGCATTACTTACATAGCATTTACCAAAATACAGTGCAAAATGATTACTATTGTGAACAGTAGCATGCTACTTTTGTAAATATTCCTGTCTAATTACAATAATGAATTGCAATTCCTACCTGTTTGTCCAAGCATGCTCTGTTAATTCATGCAATCTGCAAGTAGCACACTACAATAGACGACAACTGTCAGCGATAACGTGCCAAATAAAGAGTGCAGTGCATGAGCATGTTCTATTAGGGTCCAAACCCTCCTACAGTGTGTCACTGAGTTTGCAAGCTTAATGGGATTTGATCTAAATTTAGACGGATCCCGTCTCGCTTGTATTAAAAATTTTGACTGCGGATACCTGGACAAATTGCAACTTTGCGTAGCTACCTGACAATGTGTCGTGACATGGAGGACATGAGACACGGGGTCTATTTTTGGGGGAATCGGGAGGGGAACGCCGCCTTGTCCCCACCCCTCTCATCAGCGAGCATGGCGCCCTGTGGCGTTGTTGGGGGACAGGTGGGGAGATGATTTCCTGACACACTTTGGCACGTCAAATCAGGGCTTGACATCATTCATTTTGTTGGTGAGGGTTTGACTTGACGACATGGCAGAGATGCAAATGGTTATTTCTTTCCCCGTTTTTTGGGGGGTGTCTTGAAAAGGTTAGCAGGCGAAGATTACTTAAGCATTCAGCGCTGTCAGACCGGGCTCAGGGAACCGTCTTTGGGCGCTTTGATTGACGTGTGATTGACAGATATTTATGACTGAACTGGCAGGGTGCATGCAAACCAATTGACAAGGGAAAAGTCAACACGTGAATCATATTGTTTTTATTGGCTTAACATGAAGGCGGCGAGTGTCAATAAGTCAATAAAGCATGCGTTCAGCTGCTTCGCGTTAATATCAAAAAGCCCTGAAACTGTCATATTTAGAAAGCTTTCCGCTCAATCTAGAAGCCATCTATTATTAATGAATGCAATAAATTCTCAAATAGCGTCACACAGGACCATGTGAGAGCGGTTG